GTCCTACCACCATCTGTAAAATCAACTGGATGGCCTCCACTGTCTTCCTACTGGAGCATGATGGCTGGACCCTTTCAGAGCAGGGAGCATCATACTTTTTATGAAGAGGGAAATATTTCTGCTTTTGTGACCCATATGGCCGATGTCACAACTTCTCAGTTCTGCCCGAGTAGCACAAAAGCAACCATCGATGCGTGTGTGTGTGTGTGTGTGTGTGTGTGTGTGTGTGTGTGTGTGTGTGTGGTGTAGAAGCAGAACTGTGATAGCAATGGTGGCAAGTAAGATGGGAAAGAGGAAAGGCCCCCGATGGTAAGATGTCTCGTGCACCCAGAACACACTTGGGTGCTGTGACTATATTGTTAGACAGGCAGGCTAAGGCCATTCTGAAGGTCAGAGCACGCTCCCTTGCAGCTGACCCTAAGTGTCACAGCAGCTGTGGAGAGCAGCCACCTGGCAGTGTGTGAAGAGGCCCCGGAGAGCCGGAGCCACAGAAGTGATGAGTGGGCACTCTCTGGGTAACTAGAGCTGGGTTGCATCATGGGCTGTCAACAGCCCAGTGCTGGCCGCTGCCAGGGCCACACGGTCTTAGCAGGCTCTGTCATCTGGACTCTGGCTGAAGCAGACAAGAAGGGGGTGAGAAGCAAAGGAAAGAGCAAAGCTGGCGTCATTGTCAGCAGAGTAGGGCAAAGGGCAAAAGCTGAGGCTTATGGAAGTGACGAACAGCCAGGAAGCCTGAGAGACTCTCAGAGGTGCTGGGCTGGGGGCCTGCTAAGGGCTCACAGGTGAAGTTCAGATGTTCGTGCTCCCAAAAATTCCACTGGATCTCTTGTATAAATGGAACTTCAAAAGAAATTGCATGGAGTATTTAATGATACGCCTTTGTTTAAAATTTTCAGTTCACACAAGGTAATGTGTGAACAAGTGAGAGATAAAAGAAGAAAAGACAAACAAGAAAGAAGACTATGGGAGCAGGACTATAGGAAACAGAGAGAGAGAGAGCAGGCGCACCTGTGATTCCTGAGGTCTGGGCCTGGGCCTAGAAATTTACCTGGAACAGAGGCCCAGACATCAGGGATTTCCAAAGATGACCTGGGGCACAGCCAGTGTTGTGCCGACTAGAAATCAAAGTGATGACCCACAGATTTGTGGCTCACGAGATGATGTTCAAGGGACAGCAACACGAGGAGCCAAAAACCCTTTCACAAATACCTGGTGGTTGCTGTTGCCAGTTGTGTCTGAAGTGCAGCAGCATGTGAAATGCAGCAGCATGTCAGAGCTTCCTGCAATGGTCCAGCGTGACTGAACTCAGAGGGCCAGATCTCCTCAGGCCTGGATGCTCTAGCAGACACTTGGCTTTGTGCAACCGTCAACCCCCAGCATCGTGTCGGTTGGTACTTGATGTCAGCCCACCCAGAAAGGAGAATGCTGCTCATGAGCTGAGGCAGCTACAGGAAGGTTTAGGATTTCCTTTTCCTTTTTTTTTTTTTTCCTGGCAAAGCTAGATCTACAATAAAATAGTTAATGAGGGCTATAGAAGATGAAGAGGAATGAAAAACAGTACTTCACCTTTTTAGAGTGGGAGGATTATGAATTGACATTTCTCTCCTTTTCAAAATCAAGAAGAGAGAATGGGAAACCATTCCCAAAGACTCGGCCTATCTACCCACCTTATTTAACACTGCAGTCCCTACTTTCTGTTTCTGCTTGTATTTCTGTCTTTCCTATAACATCTCACCTCTCCCCAGACCACATCGCTGTTAGCCGTTTTCTGCACCGGATGTAGGTGCCAGGCAGCAGGCTGTTGCAGGTTTCCTGACACTGCATTCCCAGTGTCCAGCACTGGTGGAAGTGCAATGGATGCTCGCTGAGTCTAGAACAAGTTGTTTAGAAGCCTTCCTGCTTGTCTAACACGTTGCAAACGTATTTCAGAAGCAGCAGGAGGAAGGATGTCTGGTACCACTTTCAAATGAGCTCCTCCCCCACCCCACCCCACCCCCACCCCGCAAAGAGAAAAGAGTTAAAAAAAAAACCCAACAACACACACGTGTGCACACAAGTGCACATGCGCGCATACACACACACACACACACACACACACACACACACACAGAGTCATTCCATTAAACTCATTTGGAAAGCATTGATAATAAATAATAGATATCAAGTGTAAATATAAAAAAAATTAGTTTCAAGGCTGGGATAAATGGTATGAAATTTGATAAGAGCTGCAGAATTGCTGGCTGATGAAGAGATCATCCAGGATTTCCATTCAGGTCTTTGAGCATTAACTGTCTCCTCCCCTCACCCACACCCTTTGCTATGAAACTGGAAAGATAAGGAAAAGTCAGAGAAAGTAGCTGGAAGCTTGCTTCTCTGTAAGTTGTAAGTAGAAGGCCACTCAAGGGTTAAAAGCAGAGTAAGAACTAACTACAAGGATTAATTAATTTTTTATAAAATGTTGCTCCAAAGTTCCATCGTTCTGCAGCCAGGCCTCCAATGTGCACTTGGATCCTGTATGTACCTGAGGAGGCCTGGTTTAACTTAGAGAGAGGTTCATAGAGCAGAACATTCAGCTACAGATAAGTGAAAGGCCAGTGAGCAAAGTTCTTGACTGAAGATGGAAGATGTTTGATTCCCTTGACAGTGCCATGTATCATGATCACATTCTAATAAAAATTTCATGTCTGTCATCATTATGAATTTTGTATAATGCACTTATACATTTCAGTAATTTGAGATTTTGTTTGATTGATTGACTTCTAGACAGGGCCTTGCTATGATGGTAGCCCAGACTGGCTTCAAACTCATAATCCCCCTATCTCAGCTTCAGGAGTGCTAGGATTACAGGTGTACACTATCCATAAATACTTTACAGATGGAGTTTTAATTTAATTTAAAAGGCTTCATTTGCATGCAGTTATTTACTTCTTCAAGAAGCCTTCTAGTTGGGGATAGAGTTCAGTGGTGAGCCCTTGCCTAGCATGTGCAAGGCCCTGGATTCATTGCTATTACAAGAAAAGAGGGGGGGGGGGGAGAGAGAGAGAGAGAGAGAGAGAGAGAGAGAGAGAGAGAGAGAGAGAGAGAGAATGACACACACACTCACCCCTGGGCACACAATAATCCCAGAAAGGTAGATGCACACTTGAATGGATTTTAGGGTTAAGAAGGGTTTTCAAAGTAATTTCTCTTTCCCCTTCAACTATAGAAATATGGGAATCACAACATCCAGTATTTGCAAAGTGAGCCGATATCATCATATCTCAAGTATGCTAACCTCTTTGCCATGGGCTAATACTCATTCAGAGTTAGAAATGCATCTCAAACCCCAGATTTCCTTAAGTTAAAGTCTTTCCCAGTTACACTTAACATTATACCTACTTAGAAGATGTAAGAATGCGTTCAAATACCGAGTCCTTGAATTGACCAAAGAATGTAAGAATGGTTAAAGTGTGTTGAGGGGCTAGGGAGCTAGCTTAGCAGGTGAAGTCTCACATGCATGAGGGCACACATGTAAATACCAGGTGTGGTGGTACACACTCCTAATCCTAGAGCTGGGCCCAAGAGACTGGAGGACCCCTGGGGGCCCACTGGCCAGCCAGTCTAGCTTGATAGGTGAGCTCCAACCCGATGAGACCCTGTCTCAAAAAAGGTGGATGGCATCTCTGAAGATGACAGCATTGTCCTCTGGCCTCTACACGTATGCCTACATGCACAGTTCACCCCCCCTCACACACATACAAAGTAAATAATGTTTTAAAAAAACATATATGAGATACATGGAAAGGAAGGGAATATGCTTAATGTACAGAAATTTTCAAGTGATTACTATGCTAAAGTACCTACATGCCACCCACATATCCCTTTCAGGAGTCTTCCCTGCTCATCTTTGTTGAACAGGTGGCCATGCATTGCTTCCCTACTCCCAGCCTCGGAGTATGATACCTAAGGGTGGTTCCTAGCTCAAGTACCACATGTAGTGACTTGCTGGGAGCGAGCCAGAGGTAAGCTCCCCAGGGACAGACATTTCCATCTGTCTTTCTCAACACTTTGATGCCAGCACGTAGGAGTGTACTTGGCACATATTAGGTATCCCGTAAATGTTTGATGATTATATAAATAAATAAATAAATAAATAAATAAATAAATAAATAAATGTGTCTTGGCCCCAGTGGATGGGCTCTGTCATTTAGGGCGCTCTCTGGTAGACCTGATATTTGAGAACAAGAGAGGAAGTAATAGGGGCACACTGAAAGTGTCAGGGACTCAAATTGCAACAAGACTAACAGACAAGTGACCAGGGAGTTGAAACCTGATGGGGCTGACAGAGGGGCTGGCACACTGGTATAGGAAGATGCCAGGGCACAGCCAGAGACCGAGACGCTACCCTGCAGAGCGGCAGCATTTCCCATGAGGCTGCCTGTGCTTGGATGCCCACAACATCGCTGCGGTGTCTTAACCACACCCCACCTCCTCTCCTCGTCTCCCTCGAGTATGTTGAGTCATTCCCTGTTCTTTCTAATTATAAAAGCCTTGACTTAAGCAGTAACATATTCGATGCAATAACGATGCCCCAAGAGACGGTTATTGTAACTACCACCAAGGGTACTGAAAGAAGGACGCTAAATAGGTGGAGGGCGTAGCTCAGATGTAGAGCATGTTCAAGGCTCTGGGTTCAATCTCTAATACCACACACACACACACACACACACACACACACACACACACACACCCCTATGCTAAAATGTCTGAATTGTGAAAATCTAGAGATAAGAACTAAGTTCAAGGATTGAGAAGACTAGAAAATGTCCACCTGTGTAACACTGACGACCTACACACAGGCGTTGTCCTAGTGATGAGATGGCAGTGTGGGAAGACTTGCTCCATGGTTTTTTCCCTCTCTTTCTTTCTCTCTCTCTCTCTCTCTCTCTCTCTCTCTCTCTCTCTCTCTCTCTCTCTCTCCCTCCCTTCCTTTTTCCTTTCATCCTTTTTTTTTTTTTTGACTCCAAACTGTTGCAGGCTGACCTGGAACACTCAGTCCTCCCGACACAGCCTCTTGAGTGCTGGAATTACAGCAGTTCACCATCACACCCACCTTTGATCTCCTCTCCTTAGGGACCTGCACCTGAGGGGACACAGCAGGAGCAAAGAAGAGGGACGCAGAAGATTTGGGAAGAGCAGGAGGACACTTAGACTTGGGCTGTGAAAAGTACACAGGACGCAGCCCGCAAGAAGCCTTGGTAGGAAAATTCTAGTGGAGATTCTGAGGCAGTTTGAAGACAGGGTAAATGAACGTGCAAATGCAGACTCCAGGGGAAAACGCAAATTTGAGTTGTGGGTCTGTGGAGTGCAAGAGAGACCAGCAGGAAGTGAAGATGACCAGGTAAGCAGGAGCTGAGACTGTCCTGAGGTGCACGCAAACCAGGGGGGCTGGATTGCTCAGCCAGTAGGAAGGAAGTATTGTGTGGAGTCTGGGGTGGAGGAGTAGTGGGGGTCTATAAAGAGCTGGAGGCCAGAGCTCAGTAAATCTAGCAAGGCATGGTAATTGATGAAAGCAAGACGGACAGGTTCGTGTGGGCAAAAAAGGAATCGACATGAAAATCATTATAGTTTGGCAGTAATCATAGCTTTTAAAGAAACTTAAAAGCTTAAAAACCCCCGTTCTGTTCTATGAATGATCCGTCTCTTAGCAGAAGTGGCTTGTCCAGGCCCGGACTTCCCAAGGCAGGGCAGCGCTCAACTTGAAGTCTCTGACTTGGAGCCCATCCTTCCTCCTCTGTTGAGCTGTCTCCTTGAAAATCAGATGATCCGGTGAGCCAATAAGGAGTGTAGAAAAAAAAATTCAAGGCAGCAAAACTGTGGAAAAGGCAAAGGAAAAAAGAGAAAAGCCAATAAAAAGATTAAAAAAATCACACTTTTTTCTAAATATAATTAAATGTATACTTTTATTCACTGAAATACTGAGAAAACTAAAATATTGGAATATATAAAATACATAAATATATAAAATATTCCAACTTGGGACTTAATTTTCTTTTCATGTATTGATTTTGTGTTTAAATTCAAAGTTAATATCTTCATTTGTCTTATTTTCCTTCCTAAAGAAAACTATTTTATAGTTTGTAAAAATGGTTATTTTTTCCTTTGGGGAATTTTTATTTTAAAAAAAAATGGCAGACAGTCATCCAACTTCCATACAGCGGCTTATGACATTTGACTTACAGTGTCCCACTTTATGATGCTGAGACAATACAGATCAAGGAAAACTGTACTTTGAATTTTGACCTTTTCTTGGGTTAGTGATCTGTAGTTCAATATTTTCTCTTGGTATAGGGCAGCAGTTACCATTCCCAGGGGAAACAACCAATCCTCCGTAGTGCACCACCCTGTTGCTAAGCGACACCCGAGCAGCCTCAGTATGTTAAATGTATTTTTAAGGGCCGAGACAGTAGCCAGTGATAGAGTATTCACTTGCTTGTGGTCCCAGATCTCATCCCATGCTCTGAAAGCAGTGAGAGACCTATTTAGCCCAGTTTGAATGCTACAGAATGTAATTCATTGCAATACATTGAATTGCACGTGTGGAAACAGTGTGGCACCCCATTGATAGGTACATCTCGTGCCTTTATACATCAGGCTAAAAAGAAAAGAAAAAATGAGATGAATGCATTTTAACCTGCAATGGTTTATTGGACTAGAACTGCATTCTGAGCCAGGAAACATCTGTAATGTATTGTGTAGCCCTGGTAGCCAGCGTCTAGTGATGCCGAGCTACTCCTTTATGTGAATCAGTCTTCTAAGGAATGCAGTGTGCTCCAGCACACCCAACTCCCTAATCTTCACTCTAGCCTGGGCATTTCAACAGATGTGAGATTTTTAACTCCCGCCTTGCAAATAGAGAAATTCAGTCTATTTTCAATAGCTTTTTATGAGTTAAATATTCTCTTTTCCTTGAGCCCACCAGCAAAGCCAGATTTCAACTTAAAGAATGTTACTGCATTTTTTTTTTTAAAATTCAGCTCCACATTCATTTAACTCATATTGAAAGTCTGCCGTGGACTGGGCACTACTTGAGACATCTTGTTTAATCCTTGGGGAAATGCTCTAGCCTTTTCTCAACCTGGGTCATTATAGTTGAATTAACTTAGACCAAAGATGTATTGTTCTTTTGAGGTCTTAGAGTTAGGTGTCCTGAATATTTCCCTTGTATGTACTGAAAACAAATGCCCGCACCTGTAATCTTAGGTAGCCGAGGAAGGAGCTCTGTGAATCTGAGGCCAGGGTAAGCCCCACAGTGACAGTCTACCTCAAAGAAAAAATGTGAAGTGCCTTTGAATAAATGGTGCTGGAGAATGGGACATGGACCTCTGGAAGAGTGAAAGCTGGTCTCCTTTTTCACGTGAGATACAAAGTTAAACTCAAGATGGTTATCAGTTCAAAGCTAAGGCCTGAAACCATGAAACTACCAGAAGAAAACAAAACAGAAACACTTCAGATTATTGGAGCGGGCAAGGATTTTTTTTTTTTTATTCAAGACTCCCAAAGCACAGGAAACAAAAGCAAAAACAGAAAATGAAGTACACTAACCAAAACCTCCCAACAGAAGAAATAATCAGAGACAACCAACAAGAGGGGACAGAGGTACCCCAAACTATATTCTATATATTCTGGATTGGGTTAGTGTTCAGAGTATGAAGGGAAGACAAAATAACTCAAGAGCAAAAATAAAAAGTGAACCACACAAAACAACCCAATTAAAAAACAGACAATAGACGTAGTAGATATTTCTTGGCAGATGACATACATTTGAAGAACTGTGTGTGAAAAAGAACTCAACGTCAGTGATAACTGGGGAGAAACCAGTTTAAACCATAATGAGATCTCACTTCTAGTAAGAACAGCTATGATCAAAAAGATAAAAAAATTAACAAAAAACATTTCTCAAAAAATAAAAGATGGAGAGCATCTGAAGAAATGTATCTAATGTTGACCTTGGGCATCTGCATGTGCCCATGCCGCCTACACACACACCACACAGAAGAGTAGAATGGTTGTCAAACGGAAATGGGGGGAGGGGAAGATGGAGAAAGTCTGACCAGTGGGTACTGAGTTACAATTGGAGTAAGATGCTCTGGTGTGCTATGGCAGCCGGGTAATTGTAGAGTGGAAATATTGCTGCATATTTCAAAAAGCTATAAGAAAGGATTTTTGAATATTTCACTATAAAATTATAAATATTTGAGGAGACATGTTTAACCCGACCTAGACTTTCACAATATAGACATGTATCAAAACATCACATAGTACCCCATAATGTACACGCCTTAAATGGTTTTATGTACCACTTAACAATAAATTTACATTAGAAAAAGAGGGTAGAGGGTGTATCTCAGTGGTAGAGCTCCTGCCTAGAATATGCAAGCCCTGTACCACATAATACAAAATGCCAGATTGATCCCAAGTACCACAAAAACAGTGTTTACAGAAGAAGTAAATGCAAAAATTGCAGCTGTGTTTCTAAAAGACGTAAGTATTTAAAACACGCTCTGTGAGAAAAAACTTTTAGTTTAAATGTGTTTTCAAATACGTTTTCAAACATAACTTCAAAATATCTTTGATTTTCATATTGTTTAATTTTAATGGCTAAATGTATTTCTAGCTCAGAAAATTTTCGGTTAGTAACCACCATTTTAAAGCGTGTTTCTTTAGTTGCAATGCCAGAGGACACCACGAGGGGGCATGCAAAACTGTTATTTCTCGGACTGTTCTGAAATCACTGAATCAGACTGTCAGAGTTCAAAGTGACCCAGAGGTCATCAAATCCACACTTCATACATTTGGACATGAAAACTGGACTCAGAGAGAAACCTAATTTGTCTAGTATCACATCCATCCATAAATAGGGACAGAGCAGAGGTTGAGCATGAAGCTCCCCGTAGAGAGCATAGGGGCTCTGGGCTCAGACCCCACCAACACACACACACACACACACACACACACACACACACACACACACACACACACACACACATGGCGGGGGGGATGGAGGGAGAGAGAGAGAGAGAGAGAGAGACAGAGAGAGAGAGAGAGAGACAGAGAGAGAGAGAGAGAGAGAGAGAGAGACAGAGAGACAGAGAGAGAGAGAGAGAGAGAGAGAGAGAGAGAGAGAGAGAGAGAGAGAGAGAGAGAGAGAGAGAGAGAGAGAGAGAGAGCGCGGGAGAGCGCAGAGGTATCCTTGAAGTCAAGCTTCTTTCTCTTGTCTAGCAACCATTCCATCCCTTTTCAATGGCATCCTTTGTCAAATGTTGGCCATCTTTGCTAAACATCGCATCCTTCCAGCCTTTGCATCACAGGTAGAAATCAAGAAACTTGGGTGAAGTTTCCTGAATGTCCTCCTGGAATAATAGATGTTCAGTAATGTTCTAGCATCAAAATGGCACGATGGCATGTACTCTTTTTATTGAATCAGTATTCAGCAGCAAGGAAATCATCACTGTGACCATCAAATGCACGTTCTGGGAACACTGCAGTTTGCATTGCTTTGCTTTTGAAGTTCCTTTCCCTAGGATCTACAGTAGACAAGCCCACACTGTATATGCTGATGTTGTACGACCTGCTTTGACTCACTGTAGAAAGGATGGATCAAGTGATATGGCATATGCATTGTCTCATAAACTAATACATTTTGTGGCTAGAACATCTAAAAAAAATCTCACTAATTTTCAAATATATACTATATTACTAATTGTAGTTACCATAATGTACAGCGGCTCCCATACTTATTCCTTCTGTCTAACTGAAAAAACTATTTTGATAAGAACTATTTAGACTCTAGAACTTGTCCATACACACACCAAGAGCCATGCATAGAAATGTTTATAGCCGTATTGTTCATAAAGAGACAACTGACCACAGTTTAAATATTCACCAGCTGTAGAGTGGGCAGCTGAACATGGTCTACTCACAGTGCTGAATTCTATGGAATAGGAAGGCTAAATGAATTGCACTTTTGTGTATCAGTGGTTGAAAAACTAACACAACGAACAAGTTACACATAATCCTACTCACATAAATTGCAAAACCAGGAAGAACTAGGTAGCAGTTACATAGGAGTACCTGTATATAATAAAGCAATTGGAAATAAAGAATGATTAAGTTTCACGGTATTAGTTCCCCAGAAAGGAAGGAAAGGGCACCAAGTAGGGGCATAAAAGAAATGTGTAAGATCCCGATAGTATTATTTTATAGTTCTTAAGATACACAATAGAAACTTTAAAAAATATTAGTTTTGTTCTCATTTAAATGGCAGAGAGAGAGAGAAAGAGAGAGAGAGGGAGAGGGAGAGGGAGAGGGAGAGGGAGAGGGAGAGGGAGAGGGAGAGGGAGAGGGAGAGAGGGAGAGGGAGAGGGAGAGGGAGAGGGAGCGAGCACCCTGTTGGACTACGGGAGAGCTATAAATAACAGTTAAAAGTTCAAAAGGCAGAGGCACTGGAAGAAGGAGCATTCCATTGTGCTATCTCCCCGCCCCTCCTAGGTTTAGGCTTAACCAGCTTGATTCAGTTCTGAGAGTGGAGGGAAGGGGAGCAGAGGCTTGGGGAGCAGTTTTGAATCAAATGGGAGGGTAAGCTTTTGATTCTCGATGGTATTGGGCTGGTAGATGTCTGACCAGAGGCGGCAAGGCCGGGGGCTTTCCCTGAGAGTGTATACAGGAGCACAGAAGGATGCTTTGAGGGTTTGAAAGCACCATAGCTGGAGTGAACTTGCTCCGCAGCTAGAAAGAGTAAAGCTGCTTTCTCTCACCCCCAGCCGAGTCAAGTTCATTTATTGAACCAGTTACATGCAGTTAGCCAGAAAAGC